AACAAGCCATCTTTTTCCTTTCATATTAGTTGTCTATTAGTTGATTAAAATAGGCATAAAAGCCCAATGTTTTATTCCCATAAAATTATTTCCTAATATATAATTACTCTCACTATAGGGCAGCTACAAATCCCTAGAGGACTGCCCCAGTGAAATCAGCATACTGGGATGAGCATAGCAGACCTTATATTGAGTGCCTTAGGCTACTGTAATTGTATGGTTGGAGGCCAGAGAAGCAGGCTGGAGAAACAGAGCCAAGTCAAACATATATTTCAAACATTTTCAGTAAGAAGACTCCTAGCAGAAGATGAGACACTTCACATAGAAACTGGAAGGTACTACAGATAATGAAAATAAGGAAGTAAAAGAAAATATTAACGGTATAAGAATTAAACATGCAGCGTGAACATATTGTTGGACTAGAGAAGTAACTGCTGAATCTTTTTGAATGCAAAATCAGCAGCTGAAAGTTAACAAAGAGGAAGTTATCTTGGTCAGACTGGAAATTCCACCCTTGCAGAAATGCAGTTCTGTTCTCAACTACCCTGGATGATTCTCCCACTTCACTGGCTTTGGGTAATCCTGAGAGCAGAATCGATAAACACAGACTATGTTACAACCATTCTGCTCCTCAGAGCATTTCATACTTTCTATTCTGAGAATATTTAACGGCTGTTAAATGAAAAAAAAAAGTTTATTGGCTATCAAATTTTGCCTTTAATGCAAACTGAGAATAAGTAGAGTAATGTAAATTTTGCTGGTAAACTTATAAGTAAGCAAATATGATAAGTTAAGATAAAGACAAGAACAATTACGCAGGCTTGTGATTTCAAAATTTGATTGACTCATTTTAGAAGAAAGTCTAATATAATACTTTTTTTTGTATGTCTAACTTGTTTTTATACCTAAAATGGGAGAAATTCTCTTATGAGATATTTTGAAATCTGAAAAGAATTCTCTCTCTGAGTTACATCAGTGAGAGTCAATGATTTGTTAGCAAATGTTTATGAGTGCTCTGTGTATAGTGACATAAATTCTGAATACTGCCACGCTATATCATGACATAATGCCTTTTGTGGTTATAAATTTTAGAAATGAAAATATGTTAAAGACATCCAGTTCTATGCCAAATCACATAGCTATTAAATCCCTAATTATATTCACATTTACAATTGGGGAGCTACCTTAACTAATAGGAAGAAAATGACATGTAACATTGAACCTGACCTGTGCTCTTTGATTCGGAAATTATTGAAGATTATTTGAAGAGGATTTTCCTGCTGTCTGCTTTATTTTGAACTATGAAGACTAAAAAAACATTATTGGTTACCAGATACTTTTAAAAGATGGAATTTTTAAGAAATATGAATGCTTCAAGAAGAAACAAAGATGTTTTTTTTAAAAAATAAAAATGTGAAAGCATTTACATGTCAACATAACACAGTTTTTCCTCCTTCTCCTTCCTGATTCTTCCTTCATCACCTCATCTTGTACTTCTCTGCTTTCATGACCATTAAAGAAATGTCTCTTATTTTCCACCCAGAATGGAGTCAGGCTAGCATTTCACACTTTAGGAAAGAAACCGAGAAGTTAAAGAACTGCTCTAGTTTTCTGTTCCTTGCTTTAGAATCCTTTGTTCTTCAATACACATTACAATATTGACTTTTATAATTTATCCCCAAACTTCTTAGTGTATGGAAGAATTCATTATGATAGGTATACATATTAAACAGAATGTTAAAAGAAAAACAAGACATTAAGGTAGAATTTACACATTGCTTAGTGTTTTGAAATGTACTTCATTTAAATTTTTCCAAAAGGATAATTTGTGAAGTGTCACAAATTTTGACAAGTTCAATTGTGCATGGCTTTTACAGAAAGAGTGAAAAGATAGTTGAAAGTACACTGAAAGCCTATTGGTGATGACTGGACTGTTTGCATTGTTCTTTATATGACAAAATATTGTTATTAGTGTTAAAAATAATCAAATGAAACATTCAAGTAACACTATAAAGGAGAACTATGAAACTAAAAGTAAAGTGGCTACAGGATCTTTCAGCAGTGGGAGCAATTGCAAATAATCACAAACTGTTTTTGAAGAGGCCACAAAACAAAATTTTGTTTATTATTGTATATTAAATCTTGGGCTTCAAATAAAAATCTCTTTATGAATACACCATGGATAAAAATGACAGGACAAGCAGACACACATTCATATACGCATGTGAAAGAAATGACCATATAAGTGAAGAATATGTTCGTTTAATGCTGGTGATTTATTTCATAATGAATATGTATAATGTATTTTTTCTTAATTTGTACAGCTTTTCCTAAAAATGGAATAATTAGTACCTAATTATATT